TCTCGATACTTCAAAAATGGTCAAAACTTTCTGATAAAAATTGAAAATAAATCGAGATTCGATATATCTTCTGATAGATGGCAGTAAGCCATTAGTAATATTGAGATGTTAGAGCTCACAGGTGCTCTTACATCATAGTATGCCTCACTGATCTTTTTTTTAAAACTTTTTTATAAATTGAGAAAAATAAATTTCCTGATCGTGCAACTAAAATTTTCTGATGTCGGAATATCTATCAGAGTAAACATCACACATCACAATTGGCCAAATACCATTTTCTTGGGGTTCATTGAGTTTCACGATCGTAAACGATTAGGGGATGCCTTTTTATAAGTCGGTGGATGAGAGGGTAACACCCTCGATTCCTGACAGTGATGAACCGGGATTGAATCCCGCGTTAAAATTTTGTTTAATATGTGAATAACCTTCACATATTATTCACTGTTTCAATTATCATGAACTAGGTTGCTCTTGTTGAGCGGTACCTATTAATGTGATTTTGAACCGGAGATGCCTTATTCTTAATTTATCCATCTGATTCCAGCACAATTTCACTTTTGTACTACTCTTTCACATTATTATGCATATTTTATATGCATATTTAACTTGTACATTGCACGCCGCCCACTGCAAGTCTAGGTAGAGTTGGCTGTGCGACACCTGTCCACGCAGTCTGTCCGCGACAAATTAGCCTCATTATAAATTAAAAATTCAGACGACCCACTTCTCTCTCCAAGGTTCAGTTGTATGCCATTAAAAGCGTCGAATTGCACAATAGCTAAGTGCGCATTTCTCCTCCATAATTAACTTAGGCTAATTAGAATGGATAGAAAAACATTCACCGCGTCCTGAAGTTCCTTCACCCGAGGCAACGTCTACTTTGATATATTGTTTTGATATAACGATTATCCTGAATATAGAGGTCGCCTGGCCGGCATTCATATTCCTATGAAAAATACAACAACAAAAAGCCTTTATTGAGAACCTCTCGCCCTATAAAGGATTCGCCAGTTTAAAGAGTAAGAGAAGAGAACTAAGAATACAGAGAGAAACCTATATGTAGTAGGTATAGTATAGTATTTTATACATTGTGACTATATACAGCAGAAGCAACAAGCCTTTTACTGGGATCAAAGTCCCATACAGGATTCGTCATTCTAATCCTGACAAATATTATTTACATATAATTATTTACATCAATTAGATTATGTATATAGCTTCACTTTCTCTTCAGCCGTCTTCCAAAATTTGAACAACGCAAAAGCTCCAGCTCTGTTTCTCACCACCTCATTCAACAGGAGCTCTTTTTCTATGAAAAATAGAGAAAGGAGAGGCAGGATAGAACAGAGAAGGGAACAGGTAATAAAAAACTCTAACTGGCCGAAATGTGTATTTTTCATAGAAATAACGATTGTCATACCAACTTCACAGAAAAAGGATCCAAAAAATTCGTAAATTTTCAACTTGTTCTTTTAAAAGGTTTGGCGTTCAGCCAACTGAAATATTGTTAAAATAAATGATATTTTGATCCAATATATGCCATTTTAATTAAAACTGGATTCGTGTTTGATGCCAAAATTATTCTCTACTTCACTAGAATAAAGATACCTTTCGTCCCAAGACTTTTTGGTATGAGATAAGACTTTCAGCTATTGATGGATAATGTAAGCAGTCTCTCTACAGAATTTAGCCATCCTGACGTCTGCCAAGACACACATCTATAAGTACTTCCTCGGTGTGGAACTGAGGAGTGAAGACCTTGTCTGGAGGAGAACTCTCTCAAGGTGGGGAAGTCTTCCTTACTGAAGAAATTTGTACACAACTATATATATTCCCCTATATTTTATCTACCCTTTATTTACTATTTTATTTTATTTTTTTCCACCTTTGTAACAATTGATTAGAAGAATCAATAAAAATGAATATATATGAAAAAATAGTACAAATGTAATATTGTACAGGGATAAGGTGCATAAATTTAAAAAAAGGCATCTCCTTATCGTGCAACTGAAAGTTGCTGATGGCTTGCGCCTTCTATCGGAATAAATATCAACTATTCTCCTTGATTTTTAATTATTCCAGAATTGGCCAAATACCCATTCTTGATTAATCAAGAAAAGCTAACCATGATTTTTCAGGATGCCTGAATAAACAGTTTTTCTGGTCGTTGAGGTACAGCTTGCACCACGCTGATGAGGGCCAACAGCCCGAAACGCGTCCGTGGTTAGCTTTTCTTGATTAATCAAGAATGGGTATTTGGCCAATTCTGGAATAATTAAAAATCAACGAGAATAGTTTATATTTATTCCGATAGGTGGCGCAAGCCATCAGCAACTTTCAGTTTCATGATAAGGAGATGCCTTTTTCATAATATTTAAATTGTCAAAAAAAAAATGCCTACAGCACTGAGTGTGTTTGGTATTAATACTACCTCTATACAGCAAGCTTTATTAAGACCTTTCAGTCTTATACAGATTCTTCGAGCAGAAATGTAGGATACATGCAGGAATAACAGCAATAATGTCAGTAATAAAAGCAATATTATTTTTTTATGCATTAGAGCGCCATCTGTTATGAAAATTTGAAACTATTATAGACGCGTATGATTCTTTTAAAAATAAAACAATTTCTACTGTCCTTATTGCGATGGAAAAATTAATGGGAGGGCCTGGCTCATCAGTGGTGAACCCTCCCAACGGTTTCGCCAGTTTAATCTAACTTACCGCTGGGAGGGCTCATCACTGATGAGCCAGGCCTTCCCATAAATATTTTCCATTACAGTAAGGGCAGTAGAAATTGTTTAATTTCAAAAAGAATCTTACGCGTCTATAATAGTTTCGAATTTTCATAACAGATGGCGCGCTAGTGCATCATAATATTATAATTAATCATAGTTTCTAAAGTTATTATTATAATTTTTAAAGCTAATCACATATAAAATCTTAACACATGAAAAAACAATAGAAAAAAATAAAAGATAATTGGGTTGTTGGTGTTGATATTAAAAATAAAGAAGGCATCTCCTGACCACGAGCACATGTGATTTTTAGCGAAACAGCGCGAAACGCGTTCGTGGATGGCTTTTCTTGATTTATCAAGAAATTGGGTTGGCCAAATATCACGGAGCAAGCTAAATAAACGTTTAGTTTATTTTTTGTTCCACTAGATGGCGCTCTGCCATCTAAAAAGCACATGTGCTCGTGGTCAGGAGATGCCTTCTTTATTTTTAATATAAAATCTTGTGGTGATAAAATCTTGATATATTGGTGTTCCATATTTCCCATTGGGTCATTCGTGTTTAGAACTCCAGTGAGAGTGTGGTGTTCTTGGAGCGACGGCAATGTGGCAACACATCCGTCAACAGCTGAGTCCGGATATAAGTCCAACAATGGCAGCTATTGTGAGACTATAATCGCTGGGAGTGGAGGCGGAAAAAGTCCGTTGAAGGTTCCAATCTACCTCTAGCATTCAATATTTTGGCCAAATGTAATTAACACTTTGTCCAGAAAATTTTCCATTTTTCGACAAAAAGCGTTTGTTCTCGTCAAGAAAAATATATTTCTAACACATTTAGTGGACATCAAGCCTTGTGGACATCTGCCCGGTAGGCGGAACACTGTGTATTCTATTCCCATCCCTGAACGCTTTTATTTTTCCGTTTATCATTACTCTTCACAATTCATCCTTTCATATCTCATCTTTAAGGTTAGAAATAGTCGTTATTTCTCCTTAAAAATAAATTTCAATTTTTCGTTTAAAAGAAACTCATGCGGGATATTTTCCAATGTCGTTTTACATTTAATGCCTTTCCAAATAAAGTAGTTTCTATTTTTCCTGACGAGGTCGAAAATACACTCGAAACGTCGAAAAATAAAAACTCTACTAGCTGTTTCTTTCAAGTACAATGAACGCTGGCCAGGCAACCACTATCTTCAAGATGAAATGTAACTAAGGTAATCTTTAAAAATGTTTTAGTGTTCCACCAATTCCACACTTTTTCATCATTACTTTTCTTTTCGGAAAGTAGTATTTTTCTGCTATTTTATTTTAAAAGCGATTAAAAGATTCATTGTCGCGAAGAAAAATAATTAAATAGGCTTCCGAATTACTTTAAATATTTATTTAATTAGTTATAGGAAAGATTTTAAATATAAAATAAAAGTTACTATGTACATGAGCCAAATCCACCCAGCAGTTAGAGCAAGAGGGGAGAACTGAGTTTTTTCCCCTTCCACGTGGCGCCACTGTTTTTCCCTGACCTGTCCGTCCAGTCCAGATAAGAGGGAATACCAGGAAACTCTGTTCTCCTGACAGAGAAGAGATTCGGCCCTGCGAAGCAGGGCCAAGGATGATATAGACTCCTGTGGTCCTTGGTTACCTCCTCCAATCACCCAGCCGAAGGAATGATGCATTCTCCATGCACCGAGCTTCCATATAGTATGGATGGCCCCTTGCGCCCGCCTTTATGGTTTAGCTCAGTGGAGTCGACCAGGCACCCACAAGTGTCTTCGAGAGTTACTAAGCCAGGTTGCCGTCCACTCGTCCGGACTTGGCTTAACCCGTCCTACGCTCCAATAGGACTCCCCCCCCCCCCCTTTGGCCCTCGTACCCTTAGTTCCCAGTACTCCCTGAATCTGCCGACGAATCAGGGACCTCTGAGGTACGATGTTGACACGGGGGACCGCGCGAAGGCGGGGGGGGGGTGTCACTACTGTGTGTACACCTTGGTATTGCATGACGCGTTCAGCAAAGACGCTCTCAATCGCACACACAGAACGAAGAGCCAGGAGTTCAGAACTCTTGACAGACTCACCGCTAGCGATCTTACATGACGCGGTAGTCAGCTTTTCTCCTGACAATATAAAAGGCAAAACCTACAACTACTAAGTGGAGTACTAAGTACCAATTTTGTATTCCTCGGTAGTATAGTGGTTAGTATTCCCGCCTGTCACGCGGGCGACCGGGGTTCGATTCCCCGCCGGGGAGCTTTTTTTTTTCAATCCTCGATAGCTCAGTTGGCAGAGCGGAGAACTGTAGATGTATCAACGGTGATCCTTAGGTCGCTGGTTCAAATCCGGATTTTTGCATTTTTGGAACTTCCTATAATAGTGATGCTGATGCTAGACTCTTGGAATGGGTATTTTAGATGAACTATGGACATAAGCTTTGAGGAGAGCAAAATTACATCTTCTATATATATAAAAATGAATGTTTGTATGTTTGTCTGTTGGTTGGTCTGTATGTCCGGTATACAAATACGCAGTAGTTCACTAATACAAACCAAAATTTCCATACATAGGTAAAAAAAAAAGAGGATGACGATAGGCTATTTTAAAAAAATATATAAATCAATTATTAAAACTATATATTCAAATTATTCTAAATAGCTCACGAGCAGCGCCCTTTAGAACGCGGTGGATCTGATGGCGGGGCGCGCCCATTGGCCGCCTGCGAGCACGTGGCTTCCCTGTGCGCGCGCATGCGCCGGGAAGCCACTTGCTCGCCGGCAGCCGACGGGAGCAGTCACTTGCTCGCCGGGAGTCAACGGGCGCAGACATTTACTCGCTGCCAGCCAACGGGCACATGTTTAATGTGTTTGAATTATACATTTAATCATGTAAACCCGGGCGTTGCCCGGGTCATTCGTCTAGTATAATTATAAATATAAACCTACAATATTTATTCTCTCTACTAAGTGATGATAAGGCTTAAAACACTAAATTGAGCGTCTCAACAATTATAAACCATTTAAAATGTATTGTTAAAATCTCACTGAATGATGATAATTTTACTGTAAGGACAGGAGAGAAATTGACTAACAATGAACAGCAAGTTATGAAAGAATTGTTCAGGCAAATTTTTTTTTATTTATTTATTTTACATATCAGACGCGATGTTCCGGCTTGAGATACTTGCGCCTAAATACATTTTAACAGCTTAATTTAATACAAAAAATCAAAACCAAAATCAGAATATATTAGAAAAACTAAAAAGTCGGTTTTCTCAAACAGAAAATAAAATCTAAAATGAATCTACAAAAATTATTGGATTTTACCAACTTTTTCATGCTTCCCCGCATGATAAAATTGGGATGGTCAACATCAGAAAAGAATAATACTGGACGCTTTTGGTAAAAAAATAAAGATCTGTTGAATGAATAATTTATAAATAAATTTGATTCCAGTTTTTTACGAATCCATATCTTACTAGATTATTGGTCAAATCTAATATTGAAAAAGCGTAAAGACACAATATTCAGCAAAATTAATCCGAGCATGATAAAGCAGTTCATCAAAAATTGGAAGAAATGGTGGAAACAAGAAGACCCTATGCATTCTTTCACCTGTCGTGCTGCCACTATGTTGGGTTTACTCTCCTCCTCCTCCTTCAGTGTCTTCCTCTACTGAGGGTGGGCCACATGGTCTCTCCATATCTCCCTCCTTCAGTGTCTTCCTCTACTGAGGGTGAGCCACATGGTCTCTCCATACTTCCCTCCTTCAGTGTCTTCCTCTACTGAGGGTGGGCCACATGGTCTCTCCATATCTCCCTCCTTCAGTGTCTTCCTCTACTGAGGGTGGGCCACATGGTCTTTCCATACTTCTCTCCTTCAGTGCCTTCTTCTACTGAGGGTGGGCCACATGGTCTCTCCATATCTCCCTCCTTCAATGTCTTCCTCTATTGAGGGTGGGCCACATGGTCTCTCCATATCTCCCTCCTTCAGTGCCTTCTTCTACTGAGGGTGGGCCACATGGTCTCTCCATATCTCCCTCCTTCAATGTCTTCCTCTATTGAGGGTGGGCCACATGGTCTCTCCATATCTCCCTCCTTCAGTGCCTTCCTCTACTGAGGGTGGGCCACATGGCCTCTCCATATCTCCCTCCTTCTATGCCTTCCTCTACTGAGGGTGGGCCACATGGTCTCTCCATACTTCCCTCCTTCAATGCCTTCTTCTACTGAGGGTGGGCCACATGGTCCTCCGCCATCCTCTCCTCGTAGGTGTGTCGTCCAATCCATTGTTTTAGATCGTCTGTGTATCCCTGTCATCTCCCTACCCTCGATCTCTTCCCCCGGAGCTTTCCCGCCAACACTGTCAGCAATATCTCTCCTGCTGATCCACGCATCACATGTCCAGCAAACGTCAGTTTTCATTGTTTTATGAACTATATCAGCTGGCATTCTGTACCTTTTCGAACGAGGACTTGATTATTTGTTACCATATCTGTCCAAGGAATTTTGAGAGCTAACCTGTAAAGGTATGTCTCAAAGGCTTCTATTCGTTTGATTGAAGATTTTAATAATGTCCACGACTCACAGTGATATGTTAGTATAGGCCAGATTAGTGTCTTCATCAGTCTCGGTTCAGATGTCGGTGCTGAAAACTGGAATCTCATTTTGAATTCGACTCGGGAACAGAAGATGAACGAAGGACGGAAGGTTCCAAACCGCTGCAAGTCCAGCTCTGGCCGTGAACTTGACCCTGGGGATGAGTCATTCACTCAGATACTTGACACTCGGCAAATCAGCGCCGTCATTTTCAGTTAGAAGATTCAGACGGCAATACAGATAGTGGGACTTTAGTGGATTTTCTACAGCCAGATCATAATTTACCATTAGCTTTGTAGTTCGTCATTATATACTCCTGAATATGTGGGGGCCAAGAGATTTCCTTTCAGCCTGCTGGGATGACAGACCACGCCGTCAGCAAACATACAAGCGGGGCCATGAAATAGGAGATGACCACCGCGGCGCGGCAGATCAGCGGAAGCCAACAGAACCAGAATAGACATTCTAGGGTGTTGTCCTTTTTGTCTTCCTCTAAAAATGTAGCCAATAAATAATACCAATAAAACACTGAAATACTTTCTGGTCCATCGCTGGACTAATAAATCGACACACTACAAATACATGTACCCCGTATTGTGGACGTCATTATTTGATCTTATTAAATTATTATATTTAGCCACCTCCTTCCTACAGAGATTTTTATAGCATTAAATTTAATTTCTATCTATATATTTTTCGCTATATAATATTTTGTATTTAAACCTATAAAATCTTATATGGACATGTTGAATTAAAGTAGTTTCAATCTCAATCTCTCTCTTTCATATACATTTCTCTTTTAGTGAAATATGTTGTAAGATTTAGGTACTTACAGCTTGTGTGAAGGCATGAGGACGTTGATGATTATATAATAACTAGCCGAATGACCCGGGCAACGCCCGTGTTTTACCCGATTGAATGTTTTGATTAAAATACTATTTGTTACAATTATAATTTGGCGCCTTAAATAAATGCATATGTTAGTTAATAACTATAGCCTATGTGCTTTATCTGTCTATGTACTGTTGGCTTCCGTAGGCGTCTCTTACTGGGAAAAGAAAGAGAGGATTCCATTTGGTTATTAACTAATATATGCATTTATTTAAGGAGCGACCCGCTCCAACACAATAGTTACAAAAACGAAAATGCGAGTGGGGGGGCATGATGGGGGGGGGGGGCAAAGGTGGCGTGATCGTAGCCGACCAATAGGAGGGCGCCATTCCAAAAAAAAAAAAGCAAACCGTGACAGAGTTGATTGATTAGGAGATGAAGAATGACGCTCGTAACTGTATATATAATAAACTTTATTATCCATTTTGTAAAAGAAAGTTATAGTAGCGAACACAGTATAGAGAAGAAGTAAACAAACTGTAGTGATCATGATAAGGCCAGTGTGGCGCTAGCTGTAGTCGTAGCATTCAGTTTCCAACAAAATATAATCAATTTTATTATTCCTCGATAAATCAGAAATTTTATTGATAAATTTGTTTAACGGCACGCATCAGTTGATATTGTAGCAAAGTATTTATTATTTTATTAACTGAGTATCATTTTTTATGTTTATATTTTACTAACTATTTCTACAGGTAAACTCCGTATAATTAGTATAACTGTATAACGAATCAAAAGTTTTACGAAGGAGCATCTTTTAAATGATGCTCCTTCGTAAAATTTTGATTCGTTATACAATTTTACTAACTATGTAAATTCCCTCATTGCTTATCTTTTGTTTATTATTCATAGTTTGTTCTTGCCTTGAATAAATTGCTGTGTCATCCTGAAGTTTGTCTTCCCTAATTTTACACGTGGCAATATTCTCCATAAACTCTATCTCCATAAACATTTTGACTTTTTGTCCTAAGGTGTGTTTGGCCTGGGGAGACTGGTACAATCTAGGTATGGGAGGTTTCACCGCGCCATCTGTATATGAGAAGAGAAACTATTTAGAGCGTATATATTTACTTTTACAAAAAGGATAACTTCATACTGTCTTTACTGAGATAGGAATATTTGGAAAAGGCTTAGTTTATCAGTGGTGAATCTTCTTAGCGGTTTGTGAACCCAGGTCCCAGCATGTACATGCATCTCTACATATCTACAAGAAGTCAGGAATGGACAGGTCCCAGCATGTACATGCATCTCTACATATCTACAAGAAGTCAGGAATGGACAGGTCCCAGCGCTGTACATGCATCTCTACATATCTACAAGAAGTCAGGAATGGACAGGTCCCAGCGCTGTACATGCATCTCTACATATCTACAAGAAGTCAGGAATGGACAGGTCCCAGCGCTGTACATGCATCTCTACATATCTACAAGAAGTCAGGAATGGACAGGTCCCAGCATGTGCATGCATCTCTACATATCTACAAGAAGTCAGGAATGGACAGGTCCCAGCGCTGTACATGCATCTCTACATATCTACAAGAAGTCAGGAATGGACAGGTCCCAGCATGTACATGCATCTCTACATATCTACAAGAAGTCAGGAATGGACAGGTCCCAGCATGTACATGCATCTCTACATATCTACAAGAAGTCAGGAATGGACAGGTCCCAGCATGTATATGCATCTCTACATATCTACAAGAAGTCAGGAATGGACAGGTCCCAGCATGTACATGCATCTCTACATATCTACAAGAAGTCAGGAATGGACAGGTCCCAGCATGTACATGCATCTCTACATATCTACAAGAAGTCAGGAATGGACAGGTCCCAGCGCTGTACATGAATCTCTACATATCTACAAGAATTCAGGAATGGACAGG